GCTCGAAACGCGCGAAGAATTGAGCCACACCATCGAACAGCTCGAGCAAGCAAACGAAGAGTTGCGTGCTTCCCATGAGGAAGCAATGAGCGTCAACGAAGAGCTTCAATCAGGAACCGAAGAACTTGAAGCGTCGCGTGAAGAACTGCAATCGCTCAACGAAGAACTGACGACCCTCAATGTTCAGCTGGAAGACAAGCTTGCCGAACTAGAGGCGACCAACAACGATCTGGATAACTTGATTTCCAGCACGCGTATCGCCGTTGTGTTTCTCGATACAGAGTTCCGTGTTCGCAACTTCACCCCGGAAGCGATCGATCTGTTCAGCCTGATTCGCACCGATATCGGCCGACCGATCAGCGACTTGGCCCATAAATTCACTGACGGATCTTTCATGGACGATGCGCGGGAAGTGCTCAAGACGCTTTCCCCTGTCGAGCGAGAGGTGAATACCGATCAGAATCGAATCTTCGTGCGACGACTTTTGCCATATCGTACGTACGACAATCGAATTGAAGGGGTCGTTGCTACCTTCCAAGATATTACCGACTTGAAATCGATTCAGGGCGAACTGACTCTGCAGCGGCAGCAGCTTTCGCTCGTGGCCGATGCCATGCCGGTTCTAATTGCCTATGTCGATCAAGACCTGAAATACCAGTTCGCCAACGCAAGTTACGAAAAGTGGTTTGGCGTACCGATCGCGGATGTCGTGGGACGGCCGGTATGGGACGTTGTCGGGCAACATGCGTATGAAGTCGCCTTGCCGAAAATCGAACAGGTCATGAAAGGGGAGCGGGTCGTCTGGGAAGGAGAGCTGCCGTACCGCCACGGCCCGGCGAGATTCGTCCATGTCGAATACATTCCGCACGCTAGTCCCGATGGCCAGGTGATCGGCTACTACGCTTTGATTCAAGATATTTCAAAGCGTTACGAAGCAGAAAAAGCCTTGCATGAAAGTGAGTCTCGCTTCCGCGACTTGGCCGATAACATTTTGCAGTTGGCTTGGACGTGCGATGAACTGGGGCAAGTGACATGGTACAACCGCCGGTGGTATGAATTTACGGGGCAAACGCCCGAAGATGCCAAGGGAATGGGTTGGGCCGACGTCCATCACCCGGATCACGTTGAACGTGTTAAAGAGATCATTGCCGACTGTGCCGCCAAGGAGTGTATGTGGCAAGATACCTTCCCGCTG